AGGAAGCAAAAAGAGCCACTTCGCTTAAGTGAAGCATCTAATCACCTTGCTAATCCTTGTTATATACGGAATAAATTTACATGACTAAAAATTAACTTCAAAAGAATTTAAGATATATGCATAAATAGTCATGGAGTTTTACCGTAGCAGTATAACTTAACTTATTATAATAGATTACTTATCAATTATTATATTGTAGGTAATCAATGGATGCTTATTAAATAAGGTTATCTGGAATTATTTCTAAATGACAATACTGTGTAAATATTTTAAACCGTCGGTATATAAACTTTGAAAAAATATATGATGACGGATCAAATCTTAAAAGATCGTATCATTTGTTGAATAATTATAAACCAAAAGTCCTCATTGGTCATAAAAATATAAAATCATGCTACATAATAAAATACCTTTTCATCCTTTTCTCTTATCTTTATTCTTGCCTGCTTTAGTTTACGCCTAATTATAACTACCAGCTAGAAAGATTAGCCTTTTAGATGGGGAAAAAGATAAAATATTATGGTTCACGTTAAAGTGAAGAAAATTATCAAGATATTTTCTTGCTCACAGAAAGCATGATATTCTGGAATTTATTTGGGTTGAGATGATAAGGAAGTTATTGGCCTTAGCAAATTTAATTTGTTTTAAATATTTGACGTTTTGGAGAAAAAGAAATTATTTCTTGCTTTTTTTCTTGCAATAATTATTTACTTAATTCACAAGTTTAAAAAAAGATAAAAAGTAATTTAAAAAAAATACTCTTATGATTAACGTTGTTAAATATTTTTCTTAAAACGTGTGAATTTTTTTTAACAAACAGTATAATACAACAACAACAACAACTCAGTGACATCTCACACGTAGGGTCTGAGGAGGGTAGTGTGTACGTAGACCTTACCCCTACCTTGGAAGGTAGAGAGATTGTTTTCGAAGCATCCTCGGCTCAAGAAGGATACAAAGAAACAAGTTATTAAAAAACAAGCAATATCCACAAACAGTATAATACAGATCGAAGAAATAACAATTTGGTGGAAAAAAACGAATGATTAAAGGAATAAGAATCAAAGATCAAGAAAGTGATATGGCTCACCTCTTTTAAAGGTATGCAAATCCTCCGCGAGCTATATTTTGTGAACCCACGTGACTCAGTATGGGATTATGGGTCAGAAATGTGTAACAAAGCTGATCCAGTTGAGAGTATTGGGCCCGAAGCTAAATTGAGGAAAGGCCACTAAACAACCAAATAGAATACTACACATGGCATGGGAATTATGTTGAAGGTTCGGCTCAAGTCTGTACTTCTCATCTCCTCTTCTGAATCTGTATCTCATCCCCTCTCTTCTTAGCTTCATGTTGCAGTTTCTTTTGTCATCTCATCTCTATTTCCTTCGACGTTGTTTCTATTGTTCTATGGACATTAGGTTATTGTAATTCCATTTGGTGATTTAATACAATTAGTTACTTTGAGTGTGATATCCAGTTTGTTTTACTATATGTGTACGTAGAATTATTTATTTCTTTTAATATATATGGTGAAGGAGAATTATACCCATAAAAGGCTTCTCTCCTTTTTCCAACCTGTAAAAAAAAAAATGCATTTTCGATTTGGATGTACAAACTACCAATATTCCTATTCAGGTTTTTGTACCTCCAAATCGATGCCAACTTGCTCTACCTCTCTTGTTTGATTCTCAGCCAAAGCCATAACTCCTATTTATCACTTTCTATATTCCTTTGCTTCTCTCACCTCTACCTAGGAATCATAGGTGGACTACGGGCCGAAAACAAGGGCAGCTCAACAGATCTCATGGCTTAAGGCATAGGCCATACCATATTGAGAGGCCCTTAAAGTAATTTTATAAAATATTTACACTAACAACAAAAAAATTTTTTTAAATAACAAGTTAATCATTTAAGACAAAAAGAAAAATTTCAAAAAAAAGAAGAAGAAAAGCACAAGAAATAAAGTGGTGGACTATCGGATGTTGAGGTCTAGAACTCAAAGTGAAAATTTTGAATTGGCTATCATCACAAACAAGAAAAAGAAATAAACATACATAACATAAGCATTGACGGTGTCAAAAATATTTACTCCTTTTGATCAATTTAAACGATAATTGTAGTTCATTCTATTAAGTATCACTTATATATTGGTGAATATCTAAAATAAATTATAAATTACCTAATATAATATGTCGAATTACATCAAAAGAAAATTGATGCATGGATGTTTTTGTGTTGATGCAGTTTCAGAGAACATCATAAAAGAAATTCATTATGTTGTCGATATATATAACTTAATTCCTATATAAAAAGGATAAAATTAAAATTGACGAGTGAAGCAAATATACTAATTAATGAGGGGAGAAAAATTATCATAATTTAGAAATTTATTGGTATAAAATAACCTCAATCAAGTAACAAAAAAATAAATTGTAACACTTTTTTTATACTAATTATTTATATAAATTATATAGTATATAGTAACAATAATAATAAGAATTTAAAATAAATTTGGGGCCTTCAAATTTTGGGGACCTAAGGCAATGGCCTCACTACCCAAAGCCTTAGAGCCGCCCCTGGCCGAAAGGGATTCATCATCCAAACTCGTTTACCTGAATATTATATTGTGAATATAAGGTTAAATATTTTTTTAATATATATATTGGATGTTGAATTCCTTCGATGACTTGTTCACGTGTTTACTTTTTAAGTATATATCACACTTCAAAATTGTTTTTTAAAGTCGTCTTATTAAAGCCGTCGCAATATCTGTTGTTTACTCTAGTGCCTAATTAATTAATGGGCGTTTTTTACTTTTAATCCGCGCCAGAAATTATTTATATTCTGTAGTCGAAAAAGTGTATAAAATTTATATAATTTTTGTATATAACATACAGAATGTATATATATACAAAAAATATATATTTTTTGACTATTATTTTGAGAGCAATTATATAGTGTCATTTTCCCTTAATTTAATTAATATAGGAATTATTTGTGTCGATATCTAGTTAAGAGAGTATTGGCTGATTAGATTCTTTGAAAACTGGTGTCAATCTATCGCAACTCTCTTCTTTAATTTTTATAGGAGCTTGGAGTGGATTATATTTTTTGAGACAAAAATTGGAGGTGATTGTGTAGGGTTGGACGATATCTCAAAATAAGGATTCTTAATTTTTATACATTAATATTTGAGTGGACACAGGAATAACAATTAAGAATGCCAGGACATTTCTTATATTCAATTGATATAATGTAGGAATTTCAATCGAATGTATGCTGCAAAATATTGCAGTATATCAGAAGTTGACAGGGAAGAGATGTTATTCCTTCGAATACCAATGGTTTTCTCTTCATATATCAATGAGTTTTAACCATACCCAAGAAAAATGTCCTTTTTTGTTAGATTTTTGGAACCAAGTACATCCATTTTGAAGATTATTGGTTGTAATTTCCTGCCAATTATGCATCTTTTGTGCTTGCTTTTTTGACTTTACCTAGTAGATCATAAAAATAATGATGTTTAAGGGGTAAATGATGGCATGCTTAATTATAAGGAAAT